TTCGCTCATGATAGGCTGAATTCTTCGACATGTGTATTGCACTTTGACTATCACATTTAACAGTGATAACTCGACCTTGAAGTTTTAGCTCCTTTGCAAAACCTTCAAGCCACAATGCTTCCTTCACAGCTTCAGTTAGGGCAATATACTCTGCTTCAATGGTTGATAAGGCAACGACCTTCTGAAGTGTTGCTTTCCAACTGATTGTTGTCCCAAACATAGTGAACACATATCCGGAGATAAATTTTCTAGAATCCATAGAACCTGCATAATCGGAGTCGACATATCCTTCGATTACTGCTTTACTATCTTCACCCAAGGCTCCACCATAAATTAGGACTCTATTCAGAGACCCATTTATGTACCTTAAAATCCACTTCAATGCTTGCCAGTGAGCCTTTCCAGGATTCACCATGTACCTGCTTACAAGACTTACTGCATATGCTATGTCGGGTCTAGTACAAACCATAACATACATCAAAGAACCTACTATGTTAGCATATGGAATGCTATTCATATAAGTTCTTTCAACATTAGTGCTGGGACACTAATCTATACTCAGCTTGAATTGAGGGTTTGTCGGAGTCACAATAGACTTTGAATTCGACATACCAAACTTTTCGAGAACCTTTTGTAGGTATGCCTCTTGAGATAAGCATAATTTCGACTGCTTTATATCTCTCCGAATGTCAATCCCAAGAATCCTGGACGCAACTCCCAAATTCTTCATGTCGAACTCTTTATTGAGTTCAACCTTCACCCTCATTACCTCTTCGACATTGTTGCTTGCTATTAGAATATCATCCACATAGAGCAACAAAATAACAAATGAATTACCCGGTCGAAATCTGAAGTAAACACAGTGGTCGAACTGACTTCTGATGAAACTTATGTGTGCCATTAACTTGTCGAATCTCCTATTCCACTGTCGAGGAGATTGTTTCAGTCCATATAAAGATCTATTTAGTTTGCATACATAATCTTCCTTCCCCCTTTTGACATACCCTTCAGGTTGCCTCATCAGGATTGTTTCATCTAGATCACCATACAATAACGCAATCTTTACATCCATCTGTTCCAGTTCAAGGTCGAACTGGGCCACCATGGCAAGCAACATTCCAATGGATCTGTGCTTCACAGCAGGAGAAAACACATCATTAAAGTCGATACCTTCTTTCTGAGTGAACCCCCTAGCAATCAATCTTGCCTTGTATCTTTTCGACGTCACTCCTTCGATTCCTTCCTTAACTTTGAAAATCCATTTACAGCTGACTAACCTGGCTCCAGCAGGTTTCTTGATCAGTTCCCAGGTGTTGTTATCATGAAGAGATTTCGTCTCATCATCCATGGCCTTCAGCCATTCAGTCTTCTTTTGATTCCTCATAACTTCCTTATAGTCTCTAGGTTCTTCGTCTAGAACCTCACTTGCAGAGATTAAGGCATAAGCTATAAGATCTGCATATCCAAGTCTCTAAGGTGGCTTGATGACTCTCCTCGACCTGTCTCTTGCTAGCAGGTAGATATTATCAGTCTCCTCATCTTCGACAACATCTTTTGCGTCTTCTTCAACTTCATCTAGGGTAAGCAATTCAACATCAACATGTTCCACCTCAACAGAAATCTCTCCCTGTTCCAGCTCTTTGTCAGCATCATCAGTTTTCTTGAAAGCCATTTCTGCTTCATTGAAAACTACATATCGACTGGTGATGCACCTTCTGTGACCTGGCTCTAGGAACCATAGCCTATAAGCTTTTACTCCTTAAGGGTATCCCATGAACATGCATTTCAGAGCTCTAGGTTCGACCTGGTCTTGCCTAATATGAGCATAGGCCACACAGCCAAATACTCTCAGTCTGTTGAGACTAGGTGGATGTCCCGACCAAACTTCTTCAGGTGTCTTCATTCCTAAGGTAGTCGAGGGACATCTATTTATCAGGTAAGCTGTTGTCGAAACAACTTCCGCCCAAAACACCTTCTTCAATCTAGCACTAACCAACATGCATATAACCCTTTCAAGGATTGTTCGATTGAATCTCTCAGCTAAGCCATTTTGTTGACGAGTACCTGCTACAGTCTTATGCCTTGCAATCCCAGACTCAACACAATACCTGTTGAACGCTTCATTGCAGAATTCAAGACCATTGTCGGTTCTCAACCTCTTAACCTTTCTACCAGTTTGAGTTTCGACCAGAATCTTCCAACTTTTGAAATTCTCAAAAGTTTCATCCTTCGTCTTCTGAATAAATACCCATAGCTTTCTGGAATAGTCATTAACGATGGATAGAAAATACCTCGCACCTGAGTGTGAAGGATTCCTTGCAGGTCCCCAAAGATCAGCATGAATGTAATCCAGGGATCCATGTGTTCTTTGCTTGCCTTTGTTAAACTTCGCCCTACAGGATTTACCAAATACACAAGATTCACAAAATTCCAACTTTTCGACTTTGTCACCTCCTAGCAGGTTCTGCTTCCCCAATTCGACCAGGCCTCTTTCGCTGACATGACCCAATCTCATGTGCCATAATTCTGTCTTCGACATAGATTTCTTGGATGCAACATTTGTCGAACCACTTACAACCTCAGCCTCAAGGGTATACAAGCCTTGTTTTTTCACGCCTCTTAAGACTTCTTTCGACCCCTTCATGACTTTTAGGATACTTTTCTCTCCTTGAAAAATGTATCCTTTTCTGTCGAATTCACCAAGAGAAATCAGATTTCTCTTCAAGTCAGGTACGTACCTGACTTCAGTCAATAACCTTATTGACTCATCATGGAGCTTGAATCTCACAGATCCAATACCTGCAATTTTGCAAGATTTGTTGTTTCCCAGCAGTACAGATCCACCATCTTGATCACATAGCTCCTCGAACAATTCTCTGTTTGGGGTCATGTGCCAAGTGCAACTTGAATCCATAATCCACTCTTTTCTCGAGTTGCCACTTGAAACCACAAGAACATCAGATGAGTCGAAGTCATCTTGAAAAATGGCTGCATTGTCATTACCTCCATGATCTTTCAGGCGTTCAGGGCACACCTTTCTTATGTGACCCTCCTTCTTACAGTGATAACATCGAATACTAGATGTTTCGCCACTATAAGACTTCTGTTGACTTTTACCTTTCTTCTTGTCGAACTTACCATCCTTTCACAAGAATTTTCCCTTAATGGCCAAACCTTCGCCCACCGTCGAAGGTTTATGCTCCTTTCGTTTGTTCAAGTCCTTAGAATATAAAGTTGATTGAACTTCTTCAAAGGTTAGAGACTCCCTTCCATACAAGAGAGTTTCTTTGAAGTGAGCATGTGTTCTGGGCAGAGCACACAGCAGCAACAGTGCTTGATCTTCATCATCGATCTTCACATCAATATTTTCAAGATCAAGAATCAGCTTGTTGAACATATCCAACTGCTCAGCCAACACTTTGTCTTCACTCATCTTGAATGAATATAAAGCTTGCTTCAGATAGAGTCGATTCACCAGAGATTTGGTCATGTACAAACTTTCAAGTTTCACCCATAATCCCGATGCTATAGTCTCCTTTAATACCTGTCGAAGAACCTTACCACCAAGGCTCAACAATATTGCGTTGTGGGCTTTCTCGATCATGCCCGTCTTTTCTTTTGCCATTAACGCAGCGTCCATGGCTGCCTCACCCTTCAACGCTTTCAAACAACCCTGCTGAACCAATATGGCTTTCATCTTCAAGCGCCACAGACCGAAGTCGTTCACTCCGGTGAACTTTTCAATCTCATACTTTGTTGAAGGCATCTTCTCCACGCTCACCGCACCAATTTGTTGTGAATCAGATACCTTAAACTAAGTATAAACAATTTCTTAGTGATCAAGAAACACACAAGGGTTAGGGTTAATAAAGAAGAAAAAACAAGGATTGGTTATTAAACTGCTATTCTTTCCTTTCTCTTAAAACAAGATTACAAGTATACAAGAATAACAAATAACCTCTCTCTCTTGAAATTAGGATTTTATCTTCCTATTTTTCTTTATGCCAAGATTGAGAAACTAATATCCTATTTATAAGAAAAATAGCACACTAACCTAATGAGCTTTTTAACAATTACCCATTACAAGCTAATTTAGGGTACAAACTAACTTAAACAATTGAGCTTACAAGCAAGACCCGATTCAACATGCTAACAACCCTAACAATATTGACTACTGCATGTTAGAACAAACTTCGACTACAACACGCATTACTCGCGAATGGACTTCGACCATACTAGAGTTTGATCAAACATCTCACAATAATGATATCAAGTCTTGCTAATAAAAAAGACAAATATTGATCCATAATAAATAATGACTCTCTTCTTTAAACATTCTACAAAACCTGCAAAAGTAAAATAAAATAAATTACGCAAATATTTCATTTGTTAAAGATAAAAAAATACTCAAAAGTGATAAAAAAAATTTTGAAAAATAAAAAAGACAAGAACATAAAGATAAATCAAGATATTTAATTTAATAGAGCATACATATAAATACTGGTAAAAAAATGAGAAGAAATAAGAAAGATAGACTCTTTGCAAGTAAGAAGAAGACCTGTGAAGGAGAAAAGTTACGCTGAATGAATAGAAAAATATTACGTTGATTGAAATAAAAAATAAGAAAGTTAAAAGTGAAAATTTAGAGGATAAAATTGTAAATGTCTTATTAATTATTTCAATTATATTGGATACACCTCAATTTGGAGAATGAAAAATGAAACAAAATAGTAGTATTGGATAAAATGTGTTCTATAATACTCCATTTCATTCCATTTAATTTTTGTAAATTCAAACAATGAAACATAACTTCACTCCATTCAATTCCATGTTTTTTATCAATCCAAATAGATCCAATAAAATAGAAGTTCTTTAGGAAAGGGAAAGTAATTTTTCTTTGGCATGCGGAGTAACAATAAACTACCGCGGTTCAAAAACGAGAACCGATAAACCCCAACCCCAAACCCTAGCTCCAGGTTTTCCGATCGAACTGTGAAACGATGAAGATAGCAATAGAAGGATGCATGCATGGCGATCTCGACAATGTCTACAAAACCCTTCAACACCTCGAAAAATCCCAGAACACCAAAATCGACCTCCTCCTTTGTTGTGGCGATTTTCAGGCCGTGCGAAACCAGGATGATTTGAAAAGCCTAGCCGTACCAGAGCGTTACCGAGCCATGAATTCCTTCTGGAAATACTATTCTGGTTTGGAGGTTGCTCCTTATCCCACAATCTTCATTGGTGGCAACCACGAAGCTTCCAATTATCTATGGGAACTGTGAGTCAGTTCAGTTTCTGTTCTGGAAATAATTTATGCATAAACACCTACTTGATAAGTGCTTTTGCAATAAATTCTTATGCTAAAAGCACTTAATTTAACCGTTTATCCAAACAGGGCCGTAATTTTATATTTTGTTATATAAGTAGCTTATATACAAGCGCTTTTGTTTATCCAAACAGAGCCTGAGATTTTTTGGGATTGTTCTATTTTAGCTATTATGGAGGATGGGCTGCACCTAACATATACTTTTTGGGAGCTGCTGGTGTGGTCAAGTTTGGGAATATTCGAATTGGCGGGCTCTCTGGAATTTATAAGCATTTTGATTATAAATCAGGTTTGTTTATTAATTGCAATTATTTGTTCACGCTGCTACCTTGCAGTTGTAAGTGAAAATAGAGTATTGATTTGAAAAGATATAATAATATGATATTAGCTGTTTATTGGAGCAGGGCACTATGAGAGGCCTCCTTATGATGGCAATACCATCAAGTCTGCGTATCATGTTCGAGAATATGATGTTCGCAAACTCATGCAAGTTGAGGAACCTATTGATATTTTTCTCTCACATGATTGGCCGGTGAGGATCACTGATCATGGGGATTGGGAGGAGCTTGTGCGGAACAAGCCTTTCTTCAGGGAAGAGGTAAGAATTACAATAATTTTTTCATGTTGATTTGTAAATGAAATTTAAGCTTTTAGTAATGATTATTATTATTATTATTATTATTCTAGGCATTAAAGCTATTCATTTTTCTTGTACTTTTGGGTAGCATCTAGAAGACTAAGAAAATAGTAGGTATACTAGTCTCGGTTTTCTTCTTTGTAAGAAATATGAATTTATAAAAAATAAATGGGGAGCCGTTGCTCGCATAGTTGTTTTAGAGCAGTCATGTAGATATATGTTCTTTGAACAACATATAGTACATTGTCTAACAACAAATTTTATTTCTCACGCTTGTAACTTTTCCAGATAGAGGGAAAAAGGCTAGGGAGTAAAGCTGCTGCTCAACTTCTAGAAAAATTAAAACCACAATTCTGGTTTTCGGCACACTTACACTGCAAGTTTGCTGCTCTTGTTCAGCATGGGGAAGGAGGCCCTATGACAAAATTCCTAGCACTTGATAAATGTCTTCCTGGGCGTGATTTCTTACAGGTATAAGTGTACAGCCATAATGCAAAGTTAATCTTCTGTGTTAATTGTTTGTGTTAGTAACTATAATTGTGGCGTGCTCTGTGCCTTTAGGTTGTTGAAATTGAATCAGAGGCAGGACCTTATGAGATTCAGTATGATGAAGAATGGTTAGCAATAACACGAATGTTCAACAATGTATTCCCTTTGACGCGCAAAGGTGCAGATTTTCGGTGTGTTAAATATCATTTTGGATTTATGCCTTCAAACATATTTTCTTTTGTTCTCTTGTTTTTTCCTTTCCTCCAACAACAAGAAAAACTTATAAAAAAATAAAGCTGTATGCACTTTATGACAGAGGTGTAAATCTTGAGATGGAAGATTGTCGCAAATGGGTTAGAAGCAAGCTACAAGAATGGGGTTGTAAACCTTCTGAGTTTGTTAGAACAGTTCCATGTTATGATCCTTCTCAAGCCGGTGTTGACGGTGCTTCTGCTGGTATGTCTTTGTTCCCATTACAATGTTTGCATTGTAAGCCAGAAATTAAGATTTGTTTAGCTTGTCCTCTGATTACAGATACTCATGAAGTGTTTGGGCTAATTTCAAGTCCTCGCTAACTAATCATACCCTTATTTTATGTGTTGTTTCCATGCATTTATGTTGTAGATATTTGCTATGATTGGGAAGTGTTACTATTGCGTCTTTCCATCTTTATGTTGTATATATGTTTGATTGAGGGCTCATTTGTTACAGATTATAAAAAAAAGGAATTTAGTATTCAATAATCTATAATTATTTTTTAGAGATTTTTAAGAAAAAACTATTTTCTGTTTCTTAACAATGATGAAAATTATTTATAAAAAAGTCATGCATAAAAAATGATTTTCAAGAGAAGCTACTCAAAACAGCTTATTTGATTTCTATATATATTTTTTTTAAAATTACAACAGACAAATGAGAAGGCCTTAAATTAGCTTTTCTACTAAAAAAAATCTGTCAAAAATGGGCTGTGAAAATGTATGATCTTTGTATTTTTTAAATACAGTAAATACTATTGTCTTCTCCATTCATACCTTTTTCTAATTGATTTTTGGCAAAATTACACCAGAGGTCCTTTACGTTAATATTTAGTAACAAGTTGGTCCTTTAAGTTTTTTTTAACAACTTGGTCCTTTTAAGTTTTTTTTAACAACTTGGTCCTTTTAAGTTTTTTTTTAAACAACTTGGTCCTTTAAGTTACCAAATGTGTGCACCATTATTCTTTTTTAACAGAGTGAAGGTGCCAATTATGGATGCAATAATTGAGTGGTATAAAAATGATGAAATGCAACCAAAAATACAACAGTCACACATTTTTAAATGTTCAAAATGTAAGAAAAATGATGGAGAAATCACTCTAAAGAACCAAGTTGTTACAAAAAAAACTTAAGGACCAACATGTTAAAAAAAATAACTTAAAGGATCTCTAGTGAAATTTTTCTATGATTTTTCTAACCTTTTTCTATAGTGTAGTTTTAGAATGTAGAAAGAAAAGACTGAGTTATCTTATTACGATATTTTCCATATTTTCATTATGTGGTTATGCCATACTGCCATGCATTATATTGCTTAAAATGTAAGTATAGAAGTTGCAATTTTAAGATATTTTATCTTTTGCAGTCAATCCTCGGAATCCTCAGACAGAATATCTTTTGCGACTTCTGGAACTTCCATATCTTCTTGATAGAAATCCTGAAGCAAAGGACATGTCACCTTATCCTTCTTTAATTCCAATTGGTAAATTTTATCTCTTTATTGGTCACACATGGGATGCCAATTCATTTTTGCATCAAATGCCTGAGATAGAGAGGAGAAGGTTGGAGAATAATACCTAGGGGGCATATTTCTAAATTATTGCTGATCATTTTTATTTCCAATTCCCCCTCTCTCTTTTAGTTGGCTCGCAGTTTATTTAATTCTGAATGTTTCAACTTTTTACCCAACTACATTTGCATTTGATGTGAAAAAGTTTAAGCGGGGGATATTTGATTTAGTTTGTGTGCAGTACTAATTGCAAAAGTTATGCTAGTAAACATGTATTGTAAGTATATAGTTTGCACTTTCTCCTTTTTCTTAATCAATTATTTATGTATATGATTCTAGGCCCTGGTGGTAATTATAGCGAGGACATTCCCATTGATGATGTGGATGATGACGATGATGAGGGGCTCCAACCAGTTGATGATGTGGAAACCGAGACTTGAGTTTTAATATGTCGTTGCAATTAACATGCTGGCTAGCTGCTGCTCACACAATATTGACTCAGGATGTACACACAGGATTGTGGGTTTTCCCCTCTCCAATTTGCAGTTCTGTTGCATGTATGTATATTAACCAACCATTAAAAAGTGGGAAAAAGAACTCTTAAGCCTATCCAAAAGTTCGCTAGTTACAATTTACAATGCAGTTGGGCTATCTCATTTAATATCTGTTGTCTAGTCTTTAGGTCATGCCCATGGTTTTGCCAATGGCATTGAAACTGCTAAACTGAACAGGATCGATTTGAGTAAGGATCCTTACCATTTTCTTAAAAAAATATAAAGTCTGTTACAATAATTTTGTGTATAAAGTGATTTAAATACTTATAAGTCACATGTCTTAGAAATATCTGTTAGTTACATAACAAACCATAGTAATGGAGAAAAAGGAGAGGAAAAAAATGAATGATTTTGACCCGATCTATAGTTGCTTGCAATTGCCTCTTGCTCTCATCAAAGCTCAAGTGTTGAGTAAATTTGTTCCATATCTAGGTGTTTGCTACAATTTTTGGCATCGGTCCTATTTTAAGTAAATGTTCATGTCTGGGTTTAGAAATGGCTTAGAAATCTAGGCCTAAGAAGAAAAAAAGCCAAGTAACCAAACCTTGTAAATAGTGCTAGAGAATCTAAATAGAACAGAATGGTTATAACTGTTTTTAAGAGGATCAAATGGCATCCCACAATTTATACTTCTCACATCTCATCATTTTGTATAGATCATCTAATACCAGATTAGGTTACAAACTAGTATGCTACAAGTAATTTTTTGTTGATAATTCTCTTCCTGTAATCTACAAATTCACCAAACTATGACTCTTCAAGTACATTTCATTCTCATTGCTGGTGACCCATGTATGGTCCTGGTTCATCATCCTTGTATGAGAAAGCTGGATTTGACTTTCATTGTAAATTTATAATACATTTAATGCCATACTTCCCAAAAAAATAATTGAAACAAACTTAAATTTTGATTCCTTCGCCAGTCTGTCGTGACTCATGTGATGTTATGTTACAACAAGACCCCGTACTAAATACCAATGGACTCCATTGGCCAATCATCATGATTCATCAACATTACTGTCCAGCTTGATTCCACTCCTATCTTTTCAATTTTCTGTCGGTGTTTCTGATATTAACCAAAGTACATTCTGTAACTGTAACCAAATGCCAATTCTCCAGCATTCCATTAATTCTAGTAACATCATTTCTCAAAAACATGTGCCTGCAGTAATTGTTACTACCACTACAAGTCACCTATTATAAAGAGTTGCCAGAATAACATCTTTATACATTTTTTTTAGTATGTGTGAAATGATTAATTAGAAAATTTATTATGGGACGAAAATAGTACTAATGCAACCTCATAGGAAAATGCATGACCAAACCTTCCTCCATCTAATTAATGACTTCACCAAACTACATAAATGTAGTTTCAAATAACGACAATTTCGTTGCTACTACCATGGTACCACCTATATTTCTTGTATGATTATGTTTGTGTGTTTCACTATCTAGTCAATAGTAGTAAAATACCCCGCACACTGCCCTTCAGGCACTGCTTTGAACCTCCAAAAAAGTACCTAAAGTTTGGTTCTATGGAGACAATGAAATCAATGTTTCTTTCCATACTAGTTTCTTTTATTTTTACCTGTTATGTTTCATCTGTTACGGCTGCTCTCTCTTTCGACTTTTATGCTGCTTCATGTCCTAATGCTGAATTAATGATAAGAAATACAGTTAGTACAGCTTCTTCTAATGATCCTTCCGTTCCGGGAAAGCTCCTTCGCTTGGTTTTCCATGATTGTTTCGTTGAGGTTAGTTGTCAACCGGCGTTCTTCGCCAAATAGATTGTAATGTAAGACTGTTTAAGATAACTTATGAAAATAATTTCTTACATGTTTGTAAATTGTTTTTCTGTTGATTTCAGATTTTCCATAAGCTTTGCATGATAGCTTATGAGGACTGTTTATAGCTTTTATTTAGAAATAGTTTATATAATAAATGTATAATTAAGCTGTTTATCCCGATAGAGCTACTTGATGTGAAATTCAATTTGGTTTGGTATTGGGATCTTTGTTATTTCCTACGCATTAGTCCTTGTTAAGGTGTCCGGTCCTAAGCGTGGGGTGGTTTTGAGAGTTCTTACATGTTATTTTGTAGGAATGAGTCAGACTCTAAGCCAAAATTTTAAGATTTTAAGTTCTGGTGACCTTGGAGGTTGCATGCAATAGCGGTTGTGTAGCATCCATCGATAGTTTATATTGAAGATGGGTCCGATGTCCTATACATGTCAGTTTTGAATGCAGACAGAAAACCGCTGCATGTTGATACACTGAATGTGCTTGTAAGGTTTAAGCAATCCTGATCTTACAAGTCATTCCATAGGATTGAGTCAGACTCTAAGCCAAAATTTTAAAATTCAAAGGTGTAAATAACCTTGGAGGTTGCATGCAATAGTGAACTGTGTAGCATCCATCAATACTATATATTGAAAATGTGTCTGATGTCTTTTACGTGCCCAGTTTGTTTGTGTCAGTGCTTCATAGATTTGAAGGTTTTTTCAATTTGATTGTAGCTTAAGACGGTCTAAGACATTATTTATTTGAAATGCAGGGATGTGATGCATCTTTGATGCTACAAGGGAACAATACAGAACAAAGTGATCCAGCAAACAGGTCTGTTGGAGGATTTTCAGTTATAGAATCAGCAAAAAGACTTCTTGAGATCTTCTGCCCTGGAACTGTTTCTTGTGCAGACATAGTTGCTCTAGCAGCTAGAGATGCAGTCGAAATCGTAAGTTCATCATCGCAATTCTTATCCTTCAATTGTACATTGACATGTTATTGACTGAAAAAACACTTCGAGAAACAGGCTGGTGGACCAAGGGTTCAGATTCCTACAGGTAGAAGAGACGGAATGGTTTCAATTGCTTCAAATGTTAGACCCAACATTATAGACACTAGTTTTACTATGGATGAGATGGTTAAGCTCTTTTCCAATAAAGGATTGTCCTTACTCGATCTTGTCATTCTTTCAGGTTCACGTTCTTCGTCTAAGTCCCAAAATAATCACAAAAGTTTTGAACTATTTACATTTTATCGAACTAGTGTTACATATTTAGTACTAATATTTAAGCTTTGCAGGAGCTCATACAATAGGATCAGCTCATTGCAACACATTTAGGTCGCGGTTCCAACAAGACTCAAATGGAACTCTTAAGCTCATTGACCGAACCATTGATACTAATTATGCAGATGAGCTAATGAGACAGTGTCCAGTAACAGCACAACCATCCGTGACGGTGAACAATGATCCTGAAACATCTATGCTATTTGACAACCAGTACTACAGAAATCTTCTAGCTCATAAAGTTCTGTTCCCGTCTGATTCAGTTTTGTTGAGCAACATTAACACGAAGAAAATGGTGGAGGATTTTGCAAATGATCAACAACTTTTCTTTGTCAATTGGGGTGCTGCATTCGTGAAGCTGACTAGTGTTGGTGTTAAGACTGACGAGGAGGGCGAAATCCGCCGTTCTTGTACAGCAACTAATGTATAAGTGTGCATAACAAAGGTTATGAAAAGTCATCCTTTGAGTTTGTACATTGTTTTGCTTGTCTTTGTTTCTGTCAATTCTTTGTTGTCCTCTCTTCTATTCATTGTGGCATAACTTGAGCAATATACAGTCTTAAAACTTGATAATGATTCATGCTTTCTCTTAATAAAGATAATGATGACTGATATACATTTATTGCAGATTAAAAATATTTTCTCTTATACTTTTTTTGTCTCGCCTTATACTTTTCTTTTATTTTTTGTCACACCTTAAGCAATGAGAATTGTATTAAAATGAAGTATTAGGGGTGCTTAAACCAAATACAAAACGTGAGAAAGCCACCTGAAAATAGATTGCCAAAGGAGAAAGAGGTGAAGACTGGTCTAGTTTAAGAGTCGATTCTACTCATATAAAACAAATTGAGAGTTGAAAACCCATGTCAAGCTTAGTTATAATATAACTAGAGACAAAATATGTGAGAAAATAATATAGAATTAAAAATGAATCAGATTCGCCAAGTTGTTTTCTACGTCAACTTCTGGCTATTGGACCCTTCGATAAAGCTAGAATAATTGACAACTTAGAAATGTTTTTTACACAAAGACTGCTAATTGTATACATTTACATGATTTACATGATTTTCAACTTGTATTTTTTTTCTCTCTTTTCGTCTCCTTTCTCTCTCTCCCTCGAGTCCAACATTCACACTCATGCATAGATAATATCGGAGGACAATATCGATTTATATGTGTCAAAATAACAGCTGAAAAATTAAGGTATCAATTTTTGTGTCTAAATATTATTAGCGAACATTGTTATTTAAAAGAGTCCATAAAGAGTAGCAGCACAGGTCAAAAGTCCAATATCAAACTGTGCTGCTTATATGCTACTTTTCTACCATTCAATTCAACCTAAAAGATTCACCACCCACCCAAAATGTCCACACATAATATACACAAAAACAAAAAACAATACGCATAATAATAATACAATATCTAAAATTCTAAATACAAAGTACATCATCGAATTGTCAAATTAGAAAAACAAAAAGTACAAGTAAAAAATTTCAACAAAACTCAAATATTTATTTATTACTACTACTCCCTATTCAGACAAAAATAAAAATAATTTTTAATTTTCACTTTCACTTGAGTCAGTGGCACCATGATGATTGACCTTAGCAATCCCTATCCTTGGCGCATCCACAATAGTACAAGCAGAAGACATTTCCATTTGACAAACCCTAACCGCACCGATCAACTTCTCCGGCAACTCCTCCTCCGTCTGCGCCTCCACAACAAACCCCATATCAATCGTAACACTCGTCACATATCCCAACGCAAGCCGCAAGATAGCATTCGCTATTGCGCTACTTCCTATATCAACGTCAATTTCGAAGTAGTTAGGTCCTCTATGATAATGGCACGTCAGCGCTTTCCCTAACAAACACGCGCTGTAGTTACCTACAGCCTTTTTCACTATCCACGGTCCTTTCACGATCCGGTTCACTAACTTGAACCGCTGATTTCGGAACGAGTCGTCTCCTTCGATGAACCGTCCGAGTAACGAACCGGATTGAACCGGATCTTCAGTCGCGTAGTAGAACACCGCGCTGTGGTGTTCCTTACCGGGAATCTGGAGATTCACGGCGAAGATGAAACTCTTCAACGACTTACCGTTGGATTGCGCTTTCTTGAGCGCGCTGGAGATTCGATTATCGGAGCGACTCAACACGTTGTCGAGTTTCGTTGAGGATTTGAGCCAGTCCATGCCGGCAGGAGAGAGGAGATATTCACCTGCGGGAGATTTTTGTCGTTTTGTGAAGTAGCTCTGAGAGCGGAGGTTGAAGACATCGCCAGGAGGTGAAGCCCAGCCGTTTGTTCCGGTGTTGAGATCGACGTGGCGGAGAGATCCGCTGTTGATTGTTTCAGCTGTCCAGTGAGAAGAATCATCGGCGGTGGATCCTGAATCGGTGCCGGAGCTCCGGGAACTGTCGTCGGTTGCGTACATCAGTTTGGTTTGGGGATTTAGGTTGAGTGGTTGGGGTTTTGAAGAGTGAAAAAGTTCATTTAATTGTTTTTTTCTGTGTTCACTGCACACAGCGAAACACGCCTAAGAAATCAGTTCTCTCCTTTATTATTATGGAGCTACATGTGTTATAGTGGAATAGGATTAAAGAAGGAAAGAAGGAGGAAAGGGAAATGGTCTTGCGTTTCCTTCAAACTACGAAAATGCCACTATTAGATATTATACCTACCCAATTCAGTTAAGAAGGAAAATATTTGAGTAATAAATATTACTATTTACCATAATCACAAATATACGTGGGTTTTTTTACTAAATTATTTTTACAATGTAGTATTTTTTAATATTACTTTTACCATGAATTTTTTTTAATATAACCAACGTTTTCAAATTATTTTCAAAATAAATAGAATTTCAAAAAAAATTTCAAAGTGGCCAACATTCAACGTTGAGCCGCCAATTCAATTTGAGCTGGTGAATTAGGTCTGACCTCAAATGGATTCGGAATCAGGCATTTTTTTTTTTTTTTTTCGTTTTCAATTTTTATTTTATTTTTATTTTTATATTTTTTGTTTTATATTTAAATTGATTTAGATTTAAATATATTTGTGATTTAAAATATGTGATATAGTTTTAAATAATTTGAAAAAGTTGATAATATTAAAAAAAAATATTATAATAAGTTCATAAGTTTTATAAAATTCATTAACCTATATAAGTTGGTTTTTAAAATTCATTATAATAAGTTGGTTATATTAAAAAATTTATTAACTTAAATAATAAATATAGTTTTTGTGAAATAGTTTTATAAAATAATAAATATATTTGTATATAATTTTTAAGGGTATTTAAGGCATTTCATATGGTGTACGTACTATTTAATTTTTCTATATATACGACTGCAAACACATATTTTCTACAACATTTTATACCAAAAGACTGAAGTCTTAATAATTTTGAGTGGAGCAGAGTTTAGAATGTCGACATTTCTAAATCAACGTTCTTCGTCGTCGTCATCAGCATCGGAGGAACCGTTTCCAACATTTCCTCTAATGAAAAGAAATGCCATAGTTTATTTTTCAGCAACAGAGCCTCCGATGAAGGTGCTTCTGTGGAATACGCAGACGTTGGAGTATTTGCATAGGGAACTGAACCGTTGGCTAGAAGGAGATATTGCTGCAGGTGAAAAGATTAGGAAAATTGAGAGGTTGGTCGAGGAGGCAAAGAGAAACGGAGTTACTCGTGAATGGAGAAAAGTGGAAAATGATGCTGGTGTCCTTGTGATGATGTTAACACCCAAGAAGATAACGTTGATGGTTGTGATATCGTAGACACCTTGATGCATTGTTCTGTTTTATGTCTTTATGTTTTTGTTATTTTCAGAATGTTGTTGTGATATTAAGTTATGTTTGTTTATTTTTTGTTGATTGCTAATTGTAATCGGTTAAGTATGCCTTAAATGAAATGAAATTTACTATTGATTTAAAGGGACACAGTTACCTATGAAACTATGATCTTGTGTTTGATCCTACGTTAGGACATTTTGTACGACTGTGTCCTGGTTGCCAACACGAACTACATAATCTTACTATTTTGTTTGCGGTATCCATCACCGTTCGAATGCGCGTGCTATTAGGGTGACCCTTTTTCTTTCTTCGCATCAAATCATTATGCCAGACAATTTTGCCTTCGTATTGAGGCCAATAGTCCTCCTTTGCCACCACCTGAAAGCTACATGTGTAGACATTGCATAGACTTATCACTTGGTGAACTGCAGAAAGAAGGTTGTCTGGGTCCTGGGGCGCCTTCGAACATGCTGCTATAACATGAGAGCAAGGCATACAAAATGCCTGAAACTTCCCACAATCACACCAACTCCTATCCAGTTCAACACGGTAACATCCCCTAGGCCTTCCTTCGTTGTGATCAACTGACTCGACAACACTTAACCAACCTTGTTACGATCAAAGATTGTGACCACATGATGCCAAGTTCATTCTAGCGTTGTTAGAACGCTGGAGACCAGAGACACATACATTTCACCTACCTTTCGGTGAGTGTACTCTGACTCTTCAGGATGTCTACATGTTGCTCGGCCTACACATCAACGGTAAGGCCGTCAACGACAAAGTTGGTGTTAACGATCAACTTTGCGAAGATTTATTGGGCGCCCCTCTTTGTGTGGACACAACTGAAGCAGAACGCGAGGGTCGCCCAAGGGGTCAGAGTATAAATCTTAAATACCTCAGACAACACTACAACAGTATTGTCTTAAGTGAGGAGTCCACCGAGTATGAGAAAATACTCAAAACTCTGTGCTATATTATTATTTTGTTTGGTATTTTTTTATTTCCAGAGGACACTAGAAATACCGTAAATATTATGTATTTACAATTGCTACAAAACATAAACAAAGTGTGCAAATATAGTTGTGGATCAGTTGTCCTCGCCCATCTATATAGTGCACTGTGTAAAAATGCCAAAAAAAATTCCTGTACTTTTTATGGTTGTGCCTATCTCCTTCAAGCGTGGGGTTGGTCTAGGATGTCAACGCTTGCTCCAGTAAACCGTAATTTGTTTACATTCCCATACGCTAACAAGTAAGTTTCTTTTCAAGACTATTTAACAACCAAAGTTTCTTTGTAAGTTAATAATTTGTAAGATGTGTCTTAGAGTCTAACTTATATGTGTTTCATTTTTTTAGGTGGTCTGTTCCGGGGATGAACTATCAAAGATGTCCCAGGAACTCCATAATCGTGTACCGAAACCTCATCGAACACATTGGGCCAAATGATGTAATTTATCTACCTTTACTTTGTCTAAATTATATGCATAAACTTGTCTAACTTTGTCTAACTTAATTTATCTACCTTTATTGTAGTTTGTCTGGATGCCGTAAGAGGGTCTCGACCACCAGCCCGACGCTGATGATGATGCTGTGTGGATATCCAAAACACCCATCATTAGGTTCACTGCGGTGGAGATGCACCAAAGTGACTGGGTAAAGCTACAATTTGGGATGCATTAGGATATTCCAGATGCTCCGACGTCATTGGGACAATGGCATCAGCAACAGGTGGACTCACAGTGGAGTGTCGGTCATTGGAAGGAGTTTGCGAAGGAGATGTGTCAGTATTGGAAGAACATAAGGCAACACATCTTAACCGACCATATCGTGGAAGGGACTAGGCCAAGTTATCAATATATGACTTGGTTTAGGTCGGTTACAACATCACGACCATTTCTGTCAGAGCCAACCTATTTGATTGACCCAAGGCAACGTGCTTCTTCCTCAAACACACAGCAACAATCCAATGCCCAACATCCACAACAACAACCTTACCATAACCCATACATGCCACCAAATGTCCAACATCAACAACAACAGCCTTACCATGACGTACATGCCACCAACCCAATCACAACATCAACAACCATACCAATATAGCCCTGATACGTCTTTTGACCCTACCCGCTCCACCTATAGCCCAGATAACTCATTTGACCCTACCTCATCCACCTATCCACTGTTTGACTACCAAATCCCACAACAACCAACACACCGTTTCCAACCCGATTTGATGTGCGAATTCGGACAACCATACTGTCCATACTCCACCCTACCTCCCCGACAATCCTACGAATACATGGGCATTGGCCTTAACTACGGAAGCGTCGTTGATAGTGGACGTCCCGACTATTGGGGTCAAATGCTTCAAAATTTATCTAATACGTCGGGGTTGTTCCAACAAATACCTCTTCCACAACTCAACACCCAAAGACCGGACACACCTCAGCAACCTCGTGGTAGACCTCGTCGCCGTGCGCATCCTCCACAATGTGGCACCGGTGGTCGTTTGGATAGAGTCGACCATTAGTTTTTTTTTTATCAATTGTAATTTTTATTCTATTGTAAATTAATATATTTTAATCTTTATTCCATTTTTTTAGATTATTTAAATTTCAATTAATTATGAAAAACAAAAAATATAATTTACTATTTATTTCATTTATTTATTTTTTACATTATTTAAATTTCAATTAATTATGAAAAACAAAAAATTAATTTACTATCTATTCCATTTATTTTTTTTATATTATTTAAATTTCAATTAATTATTTTAATTAAATATAAAAAAGAAAGAAAATGCAAAAATAAATGCGCAAACCATAACCTGAAAAAAAAAAAGAAGGCAAATGGGCTGATTCGGCAATCCAATTGACGAATCCATTTAAAATGAAGAACCAAGTCACCGGCCCAAATGACGAATGCTACTCAAATAGTCTGAGTCGCCAATCCAAATAGCGATCCAAAGTTAAAACATTGTCAATTTCGTAATTATTTTTCATTATTTATTTAATTAATATCTTTTTTAAATAAATTAGTTATTCTAAAAAATGTTTCTATTTTTCAACCTTAAACTTTTATGATTAAAATATATAAAACTCTTTTATACGATTTCAATTAAATTATTTATTTCAGATGTATCACTATTTTTCACGTTAACCTTCAACATTTATGATTAATTAAATATACAAAACTCTTTTACACAATATCAATTAATTCTGTATTTTAGATGTATCACTATTTTTCATGTATTCGGCGTTTTGTAATAAAGTAGTAGTATTAATTTTGATTGGAGCAAATAATTCATATCATCTTAGTTCTTAGAATTTTTAAATATTGGTCAAATTTAATTTACTTTATTTATAAAAAGTTAAATCAGTAAACCTTATTTTGTGATAAATTAGGATATTGATTCAAAGTATTTTATATAGTAATTTTTCCTTGACCAAGTATAATAAACAAATATATAATAAATTAATTTTTAAAAATGTAAAACATTTCTCAGAAAAGACAGCGTGTAAAAGATAAAATAAAACAATAAAATAATACCATCTTTTATTTTTTAGGATATTTTTACAAATATATACTCAATTTTTTGAATAACATTTTTTATTATATTAAATAAATCGTGATATGA